CGATTATTCCTCACCATTTCACGCCGTTGTCTTATAATAAAGTATTTGAAAATACCCCTCAATGTTGTTAAAATTCTTCGATGATTGTGTACAGTTTCCCAACTCCAAGAGCAAACCGTACGCAGCGGCCTCGCGGTACATGCGGTACGGGCGCAGCAATAGATAAAAACATGTACGTCACGTCACCACTTCGATGTAATGTTGTTTGAAACAATTTACCGTTGCGGCCTGATTACCTGATTATCAACGCACCCTTTCTGTTGGGAACGCGCAGTCAAATGGGAGGAACTAGAAGTCTTATTTTGTCATATAGTAGTGTATTATGCATGACACGAAGTATTTGCTAATCTATACATGAGAAATTAGCAGTTGGATAGCGGCATTGTGCGGCCTTTAACACGTGCAAATCAAATGCAACTACGGCGCGTACTAGAACATGCGTGTTAGTGAGTGTGCTCGTAAACTTTTAACCTGTTTAACACGTGCGAATTCAAATAACACTATTCTGGTTGACTCAGGGCGCTCGAATTAACCGACGCACCCGACGAGGCAATTGCCCGTCGTGCCACTATCAAATTGCCGTACTGCCCCTGAAAACTCCAACCCGACGAGCGGCAGTCACCTTGCCTTCCCTTTAGTGTAATTCTGCCGTCGGGTTGCCATCTTTAATGCTACATGCCCATATGTTTCGTTTTAGTCGAATCAACAATAAACACGTCGCCGGTGCGCTGTAGTTGCAATGATGACTAAAAACCGAGTCAGTCCGCAAGGAGGTGAATAATAACCGGCATCGATAATTATTTGTCTCCTGATAGCGGCATGTAAAAAATTTCTTTTACTGTACTTACCATTAGCATAGTGGTACAGGGGTCGGTGTTAACGATGTAAGCTGTACATAGGGGGCATATTGGTTTGTACATTAAAAGGCAAACGATATTGATGTAAATATTTGTTTATGAGTTTTCCTTATTTTTACAAAAGTGTCCTTGGTGCCCTCTCAAATTGAGAGTTTGCCTTGGTGCCTTTCTAATTTTTAGAGAAAATGTCCAAGGTGATTTTCTCACATGCCCTAAAAAAAAATTCATTTCTTTTTCATCGGCAGAACTCGAATATATATATATATGTACTCTTGCTTTATATATCCCCCCTCCCTCATCTACCACACCCAAGGTGAGCTACAGTGTCATTGACACTTTCATTACGTTGACGATCTAGTGTCACGCATGAGGTGTATGATAATGATGGTAAACCGATATATATAGCTGCTCCCTAGTTCCCTTCGATCACTGAACTCTACACTACGTAGTGTAGACTGGTTCGATAGTTCCACACGCTACACTAACGTCACTACGGTTGGAATAAGAGCTCACCTGAGATAGGGGGTACATTGAGCAGTGTTCCGGATTTAGGGGGGTCTCCAAAGCAGGAAAAACCTGCAAAAAGCCCGCGAAAGGGGGGTTCAGAAATTTGAGCAGTCCTGAGATAGGGGCCGGGTGCTTTCAAAGGGAGGGAACGAGCATATGCGTACCCTAAATAACACTGAGTGGGGGGGCCGGGAAAAAGATGCCCCAAAATGCAAGAGAAAACATCTAGATTCCAAAATTTACCGGGGGGGGGGGTAATGCTTTACGGGTGTAATGCTTTACGGGTTTAATGCTTTGCGGACCTCCCTAGCAAGGCGTGCCTTCGGCACGCTGGGGTGTGTAGGCCAATTACCTCAGGTAAACCCCTTAGTTAAAACCTAGATCCGCCCCTGGGGAAAGCAAGTGAGTTTCAACGAATAAGATACACAACGTGTGAAAGAGAGGTGGAAGTAGAGAAGGGTAACGGAACTGTTACAAAACACCGCCTTGCACTCGGGAAATAGACGGAAGTTACATGAAAATCAGTGAAATCCGATTAAATCATTTCTGATAGCATAGCTGATAGTCACCTTTCCTTTAAAAATATTTTAGATTGGTCAAAAACGTTTCAACAATCACGCAAAATTTTGATTGGACGACAAAGATAGAAGGCGTGGCGTGATGATAATATTTTGCAGAGACCGCGCAGCATCCGTTAGGCGTTAGTCTAGCTGTCTGTCTGGCGCTAGTCTGTGCATAGTTTGCTGTGGTCCGTCCAGAATAGATCCTGTTCCATATCCGTGTTGCCGTACTCGAATCCTTGCTGAACACTGACGAATTTGATTCAACCTAACAAATCGGTAAAAACTACCTTGTTGTGTGTCATCGGTTACCAATTTCGAGCGTCACAGACACTGAGACAGTAAATTATGATCGATATGTCAGTAACCTCTGTCTTTGACACGCGATAGGAATATGTTATCTTCGCTTTTTCTAAAATCGGCCACATCCACAGACCGCAACAACTTGAACAAGGGAGCCGGTTGCAAGGGAGCCGGCTTACACTAGGAACTAGGCCCCTGCTAGGTAACACATAGTCGATTGGTTCAAGGATATAAGACTAAGAGCTGTCCCCAATTCATTTTCGTAATGTGCGACATGTGCCAAATGTGGACAGAGTACCGGTAAAGCCTGGCGCACATTGCCGACCATTTTCCCGAACAAATGTTCGTCCGAACAATTGTTTAAATTGTTTTTTGTCTGTGCAGATGCTGCCCGGTGAACAATTGCTGAGCGCACATATGCGAACTTTGCAGCCGAACAACCCTCGCATGGCCCGCTGGGTTAGAGCTGTGTTGTAAAGAGTCACGTGATCGGGGCGGGCCTCGTGTGGCCAATCGGCATGCATAGGCATTTAACAAATGTTCCATAGAATTGTTCGACATTCCAGCGCACATGACGAACAGTTCGACGAAGTCAATGGTTCGAGATATAACAAATCATTTCCGGCCCGATCTTCAGCAAAACCCATTGTTCGCGCAACAACATGTTTCGGCGGACTTTTTATCACGCACCATTGTCCGAACATTCCATGGAACATAACTGGTTCCCGATACATTAGTTTTTGGCAGCAAAATGTTCCAGGGCAAAGCGCGCCACATGTGCGCCGGGCTTAACGTGTATGATACAGGTGGTATGTTCGCTTCACTACACACTACACTAACCGCGGCCCATTCCACATCAATCAATCAAAAAATTGATGGCGTTGCACTTGCCCTCACTATCACAGCCACAGAAACTCGGTTTCATAGCACTACTAGCACTGACCACAATCACATTTTCGCAAATGTGCGACTGGTGCCAGATCGGTGCAAAACTGTGGACAAGTCTTACTATCCTGGGGCAAAACTCCTCGGACAATTAACGCTTGCGCCCTATATCTTTCTAGGCATACTCGCGTATCCCGGTCGCATCCACTTCTCTTATGCAGCATAGAGCATGGCAGGATGACCATCAACCGGCTCGTCCTGTCCGCCCGACCACGCCCAACGATTCCGAGAGTTCTTACGCGCGATCGCAGCTTTCTTGTCACGGCTCCAACGGTTTCCTCGGAAAGCGCACCTTCCGGTCGTTTTATTCCGCGATTTAGGTAATCTGCGAACCGCACCAAGGCGCTACCTGTGCCGACGACATATCATGGGCAGTATGTAGGTAAAATCTAATGGGAGCGATGGAGCCAGTTACAAGTGTTGCCATGGTTCCCATGCACTGACGCTCAGGCTTGTATTGGGCACAATTCGACGTGATTTAAACGGTTAGAACGTTTACGCGCACACTCACCTATACGGACGCCCGATTGTTCCGTCACAGGCTCGACATTAAAGCTCGACGAGAAGGCGCAGCCATTTTGGTTAGCCGGCCAGATGTAGAGAATTAGTTCACCTTGACATTGTCTCTAAATTAGAAAACCGGCACCAGCACGGCAACCTCTCAAGTGAGAAGGCCACCAAGGCGCCACTTTCTGTAAAATAAAGGAAAATCTCATCAACAAGATGTAGTACCATTCAACATCCCGCTCTTGCCCTTTTAAATGTATCAAAACAATTAGTGCCCCATGCTAGCAAGCTTACATGCGTAACCACCGACCCCTGTACCCAACCTCTGCTAATTGGAAGTGACCGAGTAACAAGAACCCATTTTTAGCATGGCCCCCTATCAGGAGCAAATAATTGTATCGACTGCCCGTTATTATTCCCTCCTGCCCCGCTATCGGTTTGTTAGCTCATCATTGCCCAAACATTACAGCACGCCACCCCGCGGCAGCGTATTATAGTTGATCTCGATACAACCGAAACTAGGCCAGTAGATTAAACTGGCCACCGACCCGGCAATTACACAACAAGGGCAAGGCAGGTGACTGCCGTCGGGTTCCCGGCCCGTTGATTTTCAGGGGCAGTACGGCCAATGATAGGGGCACGCGACGGCAATTGGCCGTCGGTGTGCCGATCGAGCCGGTTAAATTCCGGGCCTCTGGTCACCGCCACTAGGTGTTATTTGATCATTCGCCCCACCGTGTCTCCAAACGCTAAACGTTTCCTGTCCGCGCCACACCTCACTAACGTTACGCACCTGTTCCGTCACGCGCCGGATAGTTCATTTTGTAATTTGCACGTGTTAAGAGCCGCCACCACCATGCCCAGCCAAACGCCTACCCAGTCTCTCCAGTACCCTAGACTAGCGCCACCAAGACTTCGGGGTCATCGCCATAATCACACTACCCCTTATGACAAAATAAACTCTAAGCTTCCTTCCCATTTGGAGCCTGCGCGCTTCCCCAACATTAAGAAGACCGGGCCGAAATTCACGGACTAATCAGGCTGCCACCGCTAAATTGTTCTCAACAAACATTGAACATCGAAGTGGCCCGCGTGACGTTGACGTCCACATGTTTTTTATCTTTGCCTGCTCGGCCGCCGTACCGCTGGCGGGTACGCGCGGGCACGCTCGCACGTTGCCTGGAGATTGCGGGAAACCTTATCACAAGCATCCGGGGGAAGAATTTCAACATACATTGGAGGTATTTCAGAAATACGCTGTGGGGGTGGAAAGAGGCAGGGACGCGCCAGTGAACAACATGCCAGGAGGAACCTAGAGCTTATTTTGCCATAAGGCTAGTCATGCATTTATGGCCAGCGACTACGAAGTATTTGCGGAGAAATTAGCGTTTGGATGCGCATTGTGCGGCTTTAAACGTTAAACGTTTACGCGCACACTCACTAACGACGCCGTGTCTCGTTCAATCGTCGTCGCTGTAGGTTCTGGTGGAGAAGTTTCTGCGAGCATGTCCGCGCCTCGCTCGCATCTATGTCCTCATCCGACCGAAGGATGGCAAGGACGCAAAGCAGCGACTCGCTCAGATTCTCGCCGAGAAGGTATGCGGGCCGCCGCTAACGACGTCGAGTTAATTAATTACCCAGGGGGCTGGGGGGGGGGGGGTTCTTCAGAAACAAAATTAGTTTTAGCGTTGTAGGGATACGATTATTATGGATATGATGGAAATAATAACCGATTATGTTTTAACAACCATTTCAATGACATTCCTTCGTCTTCTTCCCCTCTCATCTTTTTGTCCTCTGCTATGCAGCTTATGACCACGTGAGATAGGCTAACCCCGGCACAGAAGAGAAGACATGATATAGACATAACCAAGAGATAGATATAACATAGATAGAAACCGATTATGTTTTAACAGCCACTTTAGAGGAGAACATATGATATAGACAGGAGTAAGATAATATATCTTATATTATCTTACTCCTGATATAGATATAACATAGATAGTAACTGATTATATTTTAACGACCATTGTAACAACATTAATTCTCTCTTCAAACGCGGCAGCTTTTTGACTGCATGAGACAGGCTAACCCAGGTGTGGAGGAGAAGTTCTGATATAGATGATAACCGATTTTAACAACATTCTCTCGTATAATTTCCCCTCACACGGCAGCTGTTTGATCGTGTGAGGCAGGCCATGTCCGGTGTGGAAGGGAAGATGCGAAATAGATATAACAAACGAAATAGATATAACATATAGACGATAACCACAGCAATTATATTACCATTTATTAACATAAACGTTAACGTTTTATTTCCCCTCACACGGCAGCTGTTTGACCGCGTCAGGCAGGCCACGCCCGGCGTGGAGGAGAAGGTGGTGGCGATCAGCGGCGACATCACGGAACCGAACCTTGGCGTGGCGGCGAGCGACGAGGAGGCGCTGCAACGCGAAGTCTCCATCGTCTTCCACTCCGCCGCCACCGTCCGCTTCGACGACCACCTCAGGTGCGCCCCCTGGCGAGTGCGTGCAGTTAACACGCCCCCTGGCGAGTGCGCGGAGTTAACACGCCCTGCAGCGAGCACGCGCAGAGTTAACACGCCCCCCTGGCAAGCACGCGCGGAGTTAACACGCCCCCTGGCGAGCGCGTGCGGAGTTAACACGCTCCCTTTGCGAGCGCGTGCGGAGTTAACACGCCCCCTGGTTATGACCTTTCTGGCGGTATTTGTTTTGTCTTGACTCGATCGCTTGCGGTGCGGCCCCGATTTTGACAGATTCGTAGAAAGTTTTGTCAAAATTAAGTCTTAACATTTGTCTTAACATTAACCTTTCCTCGTAGACTGTTGTCAGAAACAAAATTATGTCGTAACATTAGTTTTAACATGAACTTTTTCTCGTAGATAATTGACAAAAACATCGTTACGAAGTTACGAGTTTCTCGTACGCAGTGTATTGAGGTCCGGTCTACGAGAAAAAGTTAAATAATGTTAAGATTGCTGATGAGAGTAATTTTGTTTCTGACAACAAACCCCAGGATTTGAGTCGCGCAGGTAATAAGTTCGTTCTTACAGTTTATAGTAGTGATCCAGTAATGCATCGGCCATCCTCTGGAAGGAAGTCTGCATTTTATTTATCCACGATGCAAACGTAAAGTAGTTATGTTTCATAGACATCGTTGTTGAACGGTCCCCGATATCGAATGGTTGTATTGCCGCGGTATGTAAACACAGCAATCGGTTGACAGCCATGTTCTCAGCTGTACATACATATATATAGACGGTAAATAGAGTTATGCAAGTGTAAACACAATAAGTCGGCACTCGTTTAATATCAACTCGCGATAAGATAAAGTCAATATGGGTAGTGGATGGTGAACTTATCTGTTTTAAATATTTAGTTACCGTGAAGTTACTGAAGGATAAATTGATGTGAATTCACACGTATGATTGGCAGTTAATTTTTTGGCTGTAACGTATACATTACATCGGTCGTACAGTTTTAACTGTCATGACATGTGATAGTTGAAAAAGCACAATTATTTTTTGGCGGGTAAGGCCTGTCATTTTAGCTGCTCCGATGAGCTTAGCAACTGTGGAATAGGTTGGGGTTGTTGCTGTGCTTTAATTTGATTGTACTTTCCACTCAGTAACTAGCCAATTATGTGTTGGCCAGCGTGAGAGCTAGATAGAGAGAGAGAGAGAGAAAGAGAGAGAGAGAGAGAGAGAGAGAGAGAGAGAGAGAGAGAGAGAGAGAGAGAGAGAGAGAGAGAGAGAGAGAGAGAGAGAGAGAGAGAGAGAGAGAGAGAGAGGGGAGAGAGAGAGAGAGAGAGAGAGAGAGAGACGAGAGAGAGAGAAGAGGAGAAAAAATGGACAGAATGGCTGTTCAAATTTAAGGCCATTGCATTTTAATTCTGCTGATTACAGGATAGGGGCCATACTGCTGAAACGTGGTGGGAGCTACAAAATGTCATGCAGCTAATGGTGTCGGCAAGCTTCCAAAGATAGAAATCTAAATATGTATAAAACCACACTCGCCTCACACATGAGCCTTTGGCTAATATATACGCATCAATGATCAATAGGCAATGATCTTGTCTAATGCCCACTATACTGTGGTTACCTCCCTCTGCCACCCACTTGCATTTGCTGCCATAGGCAATATCGTTGTCTAAATGCCACTGATGCCTGTGGTTACCTCCTTCACACTTGGCATTTGCTGCATAGCAATATCTTGTCTAATGCTCACTATAACTGTGGTTACTCTCTCACACTTGGCATTTAGCTGGCCATAATGGAATATTTGTCTAATGCCACTATACTGTGGTTACCTCCTCTCAAGACTTGGCATTTGCTGCCATA